GGCGCTGGGAGGAGGAGGCGTAGTGCTTTATTGCTGCCCTGTCCTAATCGAGTAAAGCGCTTAAATCCTGAGGGGAAAAAAACCCTCAAAAAACCAAAAAAGGCCCCATCAGCAATTGGTACAGTGCATTGCTGAAATATCAGTATGCCCGGCAGGTTGTGAGGAATGCTGTATGCGATTTAATGTTGCGTTTTGAAGTGTCACGTTTGAAATCCTTGAAGGAAGAGGGACTGGAGTTTTCCGGGCCCTGTTCTTCCTCTGGTGGTTTTCAGCTGTTCAGGAGCAGGCCAACCACTTCTGAGGACATGGAGACTTATTTTTAAAACTAGTGGATTTCTGTTGTTAATCCCTGTTTTTTTGAGGCATGGCCGCATAGTACAGGATGGTAATGGAAGGGAATATCAGATTGCTGATGGTTTGCTGTGCAAGATTAGATTGCTGGAGCATGTCTTGCCACGGCTGAGAGTTCTATCAGTACACCTCTGTGAACATCTCTGCTGTGACTCGAATTAACCATCGGTGGTTTAGCTGCATTTTCAGGGTGTGACCTATGGTTATATGTTTGTTCCTGCCTCAGTTGCTCATCCTAATACCAAGAAGAGCATTAGTGCTCCCTGTATGATGGTAACAGCTGTAAAACTTATAGCAGTTTCATGTAATGTGAAAGGAAAAATGCTTTCCACTTCTTAAGGCTTGTTTAAAATACATATTTAATTTACAGATACAGGAAAATCAGCTTTGTAGTTCTTAAATCTGATTTAAAATATGTATGCATATTTATGTACCTGCACAAAACTTGAAGTGCTTTCTAACAGTTGATTGAGAAGTTTTGTGAATGCAGATGGTCCCATATTTGTAGGAATGTGTGAGTCACCATGTGGCTTACTTGCTGTAATGTATTTATTTTTGGTGGCTGTAGCTGATGAAAAGTTTACCTGACAGTGGCTGAGGCAATTATAAGTTTATGTAAAGCCACTGCTGAAATTATATCCTCTCTTGAAAACAAAACCACAAAAAAATTCAAAACAACAAAACCCTATTTGTGTTTCCAAAATTTCACAAATCTACCATCTTCCTGAAGTGTTGGATATCACATCTGGTTTTAAGCAGATATCAGAAATAAGCCACCAGCTTTAGTACCTTTTATCTGCATAAAGGGAGGCTGTTGTTTTTCAGACTTGTATTAAATGTTTTTATAGCTGTACGAACTAGGTAGTGAGGCTTCATACTGTGATTTCCATGATGATTTAAATGTAAGGAAAAGTATTTTACTCTTTGGTTATAAATCAAATGTGCATAGAGCTAGTCAAGCACAGACTATCTGCACAGCTACAGCAAAGGGAAGTTCATGCCCACTTGGAGGGAGAAGAACTAAAACTCTGTGTTTTGGAGTTGTGAGGGTTCTTCAACTGAAAGAAATATGCTTGCAGTAGAAGTAACCAGAAGGAGTACTGGGTGCACAAGAACTGAGTTGCAGAAAGGGGGGTTACATTGCCTTCTGCAGCTGGTCAGGCAGATACTGCAAAAGCCCTAATTAGACTGTTATTTTGGGATATGTAGCTTGAGGAAAATATAATTATGTTACTTTTGTCTTGGTCATGTAACTGTTTAGGTACTTGTTTTGGAAAAATTTAAACCATGGCTTTGATTCTGCATTCAGTTGAGTGTAATTTCTAAGTAGGTATCACAACACTGTTGACAGGTTGCTGCTTTGTTTGGTTAGTGTTGTGGTTGCCTAATTTAGTTGCAGCATGTGCTACCACATTAATTTAGGAAAAGCAGTCCTACCACATCTCATCTCACAGTTTTTACTCTTAAAGAAACCAAGGGGCTGTGAAGTAGAGAATGAACCTCATTTCATAAAGACTTTGCTTCCAGGTTGGATTTTTCTGGTTTACCCCGAGGAAAGGGCTTTTATCAGGGCATTTGGAAGTCATTCATGTGGGCCATCTAGTTTCTCAGGAGAGAGCTCAGTCTGCAGGTTTTCCCTTTTCTAGGGGCATTAGGAGGTTCTGGTGGCTGTTTTTTGATGCTACTGAATACTTGTGTGCTTTCACAGAGTGTACAGTTGATATTAAATTTTAAAATAAATTAATGTAAAATTAAAACAAATTTTACTTCAACCTTTTCTTCGTCTGCTTTTCTGGCTGAAAGAGCAAATAGATTTTTTTAAGCCCAAAGTTGCTCCAGTGATGACAAGTATGGTACATCCACACTTCATCCCCCAAGTATTACCTGCAGTATGAAGCAGAGGTAAAGTAGAAAAATAAATTAATGGCATCATACTTTTGCCTATTCCTTCCTGCATGAAGATCAGGTCAGCAAGAGCTCTGCAAGCTACTATAGTATTGATTAAATCTCCATGCCTTAGCCTGTAATTGATTTGCGTTAGGAATGACTCAATAGTTTGAGAAGTTACTCCATTTGACTTGCTTACATCATTGCCTGGCTGGATGACACACTCATGTAGTGCTGGC